ATTGCTATTATATCAGTGTTACTAATTTACTGAGTCTCATTTTCGGCCCAGTTAAGTCCATGAACTTTGGAGTTTTTGCCAAACATAGCATACCGTAATTCTAGGTAGGACTGTTTGGAAGGGTTAAGGGGATAATAGACTAGCTATGCTTCTTCCACGGTGTCAGAACAAAAGAAAACAGCTGTATTAGCAAGGCTCAGCTAGGTTAGACAGAGGAAATGAACAACATCCAAATCGATGTGGCTTAACTCAACAACTCCAGCAGGACTGGCAAGGGAGTTGTCCTGCCATACTCAGGGACCCTTGCTGACCGAAGTTCTGACCCATCCCCTCAATGGGAGGGCAAGGTCCTTCGGCAGTAGAAAAGTCAGGTTGACTTACACTGGTTCTTACACTTTCTAGCCGGGGTGATGTACATCCTGCCCACACTGCTAGCTCCACTCATACTTCACAGATGAGGAGCAATGTCTGAACACTCTCTAGTAGAATGTCCTTCAGATTTGGGATACACTAGTATCTTCTAAGATAGGATTTTGATGGCAATAAAGAGTCAGGGTTGGTCTCCGAGTTAAAAGTGTGATTGACCATCAAGAATTCCTGGAAGCGGCCAAGTATGGAGGTACACCTTTATGATCCCAATATAAAGAAGATTGAGGTAGGAGAATTTTGAGTTCAAGATAATCTTGGGGCTACATAGTAAGACTTCTTAAAAACAACAACAGCAACAAAAATCCAAAAGGAATTGTGGCATTTATTTTCCTAAACTTTAAGAGATCAATAAATTTGATGTCCCCATATCAAATTCCCAGAAGATGAACTAAGTTAGTGGGTCTTCTGCTTGTGGGAATCCCTCCAATGCTGTTATAAGAACAGAGGGGGCTCTGGGGCCAATCATTCTTTTGTCCTCTACTTCTTTTATATGATTTATGTGGTGGTGATTTGTGTGTGTGTGTGTGTGTGTGTGTGTGTGTGTGTGTGTGTGTATTCATGTATTTTGTGCCTGTGTCTGAGCAGCTTGTGTGTCTGTGTGTACATGCATGCGTGTCTGAGGGCTACGTGTGTGTGTATATATGTGTGTGTCTGAGTGCTGTGTGGCTGTGTGTGTACATGCATATGTGTCTGTGTGTGGATGTATAGAAAATCCCCTCTTCTGTGACTATTTCATTAGCTTTTTTTTTTTTTTTTTTTTGCCTATAACCTGATAACCCAAGTTTATGACGTAGCACTGCACTTTGTCCCACTGCTGAAAAACTAAGGTTTGGGACAGGATGAATTCAGATGCTTCCCATAGTCCTGTGCTTTTAAGCTTAGAAAGCACCATGGAAATGCTTCTACAGATCTGGAAGTTAACATAGCACACAGATTACCAACAGGAAACATGGAGAGACCAAGATGAGTGATACACTTGATCTAAAAGCATCCCAGTGTCCTTCAGCAATCTTCCTGTACTGTCCTGTAAACAGAACTCTTTCTCAATATCCAAGCATTTAAAAGCTCCAGGTTTGCTCATATGCTGAAGCTCCATTATCTAGGATTCCCATACTTGAGGCTTCTCTCTGTGATGGAGAAGAGGGACATTGTCACATGTACTAATTGACTTTAAATGAGATGCTTTTTAGGTTTGTGCCCTTTCTGGACAATGGGGACACCATTTTCCATGAATAATTTCTACCATCCTGGCACCTCCTCAATCTTCCTGGCTGATATTTATGAGTTTAAATATAGCTAATGATATCACATGCCTGCCAGATGGTCAATAGGAACTACCTGGGATATTTGAGCATCAGGCACATGTTTGATTTCTTGAATTAGGACTCAAGTATGAAGCCATTTTTGGAAGATAATTTAATTGCAAGGATTTATAAACCTTGTAAGAGGTAAACAGAAGCGGCCAACACAGATGAATAAATCAAGAAGTCTCTGAAGATGGACTGTGTATCCTTCTCACTGGGATGTGTAGATCTGTCACACTAATGCAGGCTCCTGTCCTACTGCTCAGCTTGTGTGTTTTAGGACTCCTGGTACCACGTAGGCTGAGAGCTAGCGTGCTTTCTTCTGTGACCTATCGTCTATCAATTTCCCTTGCTCAGAGGGCCTTGTTATCTCTCCACAATGTCCATGGATTTCCCCCAATCATTTTCTTCCATAATTTGTACTGCATTCCTGCTGATCGTTATTCTTTGAAGTGGTCTAGATGTTCTGTGTTCTGGGCTACCCAAAGGACTCTTCTTGGTCCATCCGCTTTCCATGGCAACTCCACATGGAATGTCTGCCTGTCTGGGTAACTGTTCCCCTCTCCCTTACTTGACTATTGATGGCCTTCTTTGAGCTGCCACTAACTGCATTCTACAGCCGTGTCTACAGTTGGCAAATTGTTTCTCATGCCCTGCCAACTGAGTGCTCCTTCCTGCTTACCGAGGATACAGTCTGATTTCTGTAAAGTAAGATTGGTCTCTTGGTGGAAGACGTTGAAAGAGTGTCACTCAGCCCTCAAAACCAATTTTCTCCTTTTAATTGCATGTGCATTTGCTTTGTCTCCCGACTTGAACATTTGCCTGGTGGGTGTGGCAGCCTACTTGTGATGCTAGCATTTGAAATCTGGAGATGGATTCTCTGGAGCCAGCTGGTTAGCCAGACTAGCCACATAGGTCAACTCTAGGCTCAGTTGAGAGACCCTGCTTCAGGGAATAAGGTGGAGTACTCAAGGAAAACTCCAAGTATCAACCTTGGCCCTTCACATGGACCCACATATGCATACACATGTGTGTCTACACACATACAAGAGTGCATACCAAATAAAACAAAAGACGGTCATGAAAAGGTAGGTGTATTTCAAGGGCTACGGGCAGAGCATACAAACGGTCCTTTGTGCATTGTAAGTTGGTTATTCTTAGAACTACGGATGGGTATGCTGTAGGGAATGTTTTCCAGAAGAAGATCTCTACAGAGAATACAGAACAAGGTTCCAAAGGGAGAGGGTCAGGGAAGACAGAAAGCAGCTTGAACAATGCAGTCTCTGGTTGTGTCTTGGACCGGTAAAGGCTAAGCCCTTTTTCTTTAAATATCAGTCTCCTGTGTGGATTTCCCAAGCAGTTCACCTGGCTGGCCTTATTGTTCTCTATTTCATATCAGGGTCTCTGACAGAGTTCAGAGAGCTATAAGCAAACAAGTACACAAACAAACACAAGAAATTTGAAAAGAGGAAGTCAACCTCCCTAGCTGTGAACACCCCCCAGACCCCCCCCACACACACACCCTTCCCACTCCAGAAGCTACATGGAGACATGAAGGGTCATGACAATGTCCCTTGCTCTGGTCTTAACAGGCTCATTCATTCTTATCGTTGTATCCATGAAAACCAGGACCTCCACCAATAGGCCGAAGCTGGGCAAAGCCCTCTCCACCCTTCCTTGTTTCTCTCCCTGGATTGGCCCTGAGATGTCACCCCCAGGCACTGGTAATCACAGAGGAGAGATGCCTCACAGGCAAAGCTCTTCCCTCTCTCATCACTCTGCTTCCTACATCTCAGGGTGAGACAGGTTCACCGTGCTCTTCACCCTGGACCAGGAGCCAATTCACTTAAAATGGAAGGCTGCTGGGTCTCTGAATTAGGGTAATGAAATCTTTCTTGTAAACCTAGAATTAAGATGCAGACAATACAAGAGTCCTTCAGCTTCCTTTTATTGGTCTTCAGATGGGAACCTGAGAAGAGCTGTAAATATGTATCAGGGGGAGCCCCTGGCTTTTCGGAATTGAAATTCCGTTCACAATAAAGCCAAGCGTCCCTGATTTGTCTCCCGGAGCCCCCTCCCACTTCTGCCTGGTGTCGCCCAGGCTTCCATCTCCCTACCCTGGTTGCAGTGACTTTGAGACTGGCAAGAAGCATTCTGAGGTGACACTCACAGCTGTGTGGTCTGGAATGCATTATGATGCTACGTCTCAATGACAATATTCTTTGGGTGATGGAGGAGGCAGGCACAGCCAGCCTTAGAGCGTACTGCCACCTCCTGGAAAACCCCTGCTTCGTGTCTCCTCTAATACCACCACCGGGGGGAAAAAATGGGAACTCAGACATGGCCTCCTATCTTTAGAAGCAAAGATCTGGGTGCACAGAGCCATGTTCTGCAGCCCCTTTCAAATGGGAACACGGCAGTCCCTGAAGGAGATGAAAAGGCCTTGCATTGCATCTTAATTAAAAATAAGTAACTAGGTCGGGGAGGCCACTGGCGTGGAGAGCTATCATTATGCTTGCCTTCTGCTCCCGAGGCGGGCAACAGACGCTCCTGACTGTAATGAGTACCTGGCACCAGTAGGATTCTACCCTTGGGATCTCGGGAAGAGGCGCCAACCTTATTTACACCAGGAAGGACTGGACGGAGGACAGAGGACAGAAGCTGAATGCACAGGCAGAGAGCATCGGAGTGAAGACAGCCCTGAGTCCATCGGTCCTTAGAGCCACTGTGCATGGGGAGTCCACCTGATGGGCTTGTTGGGATAAATAATGATCTATTTCCAGCAAACACTGAGGACAGATGAGTGACAAAGGTTTCCAATTAAACTCACATCAACGGAAGGCCAGCTTCTGTCCCTGAAGAGAACCTTTAAGGATTGCAGAGGGTTAGAGGCTAGGATTGGGCCAAAAGAGTGAACTCATTTGAGAAGTTTGACTGGTCGGTGTGAAAAACAGTGGGGTAACAGATTTCTCTATCAACAGTTTTCCTTGGAAATAACAACAGCAAAAAAAAAATTACATAAAGACAAAATATTCTCATTAAATGAATTAAACTCAGCTAATGAGGCAAATTGCTTAAATTCACCTAGTGTCCCTCTGAGTCATTAGTTCCTGCCTTTTGAATAGAAGGGTGTAGATCCTTTGAAAAAAGATAAAAACCTGAAAATTATTCTTTCTCTAGAGAAGTGCATTCCCATTTTCCTTGTTATTTAAAAAGGTGGGTTGGCAAGATGGCCCAGACAGTGAAAACGTTCGCTGCCAAGCCCAATGTTCTGAAAGTTGAATCCTTGGAATCCACGTAGCCAGAGAGAATCAGCTCCCCCAGGCTGTCCTCTGACCTCCATGCATGTGCTGTGACCTGTGTGTCATGCATATGCTCGCCCCCAAATAAATAAATAAGTGTAGAAGTTCTGTGGTACCACATTGCAGCCTCGCCCAAACCAAAGCGACTGGAATGACATTTAATTAAAGATGCCCTTTGCAGGCAGTGTCCTTTGGAAGCCCGGGTTTAACTTTGGGGTCTCCTGGTTGCCTGGTGCAGGGAGGGAGAAGCCAGGGGAATATTTGCAAATGAGTGCAGTTCTACTTTTGGCAGCACCCAAGAGTGGCTAGGGTATTTCTACGACTCTTCCCTGGCCTCATATTAAAGCAGTTACGTTTTCATCCTTTAAAAACCCTGGACTTTCTCAGAGGTGCGCGTCTGAACAGCTCTGATAACACCTGGCTTCCGCCTGGCCCCAGACAAACAAAGCGGAATCAGAGCCCTGCCTTGGCACCTGTTTGGATGTGCTCTTTGTCTTCGCCCCTGGAGAGAAACCTTAATGAAAGCTTTTTGGGAACGCAGCCTTGCTTCCTCGTGGCGGGAGGATCACACACAGCCTATTCTGACAATGTCATGGCGATAGCCCCACAGCTCTCGCAGGGACTCCAGGAATGATAAAAAGTATGAGATGAATCACAAGGACTACATTAAAATAGCAGGAAAAGGCAGGCACGGGGGATTTATTCCAAGACTGAACCCGTTCCTCTCGGACCCAGGTTCCTAACAAATGTCTTTTCTTGCTTTTGGTTCTGAGCATCTTAATCATCAATTCCTGGAAGGAAGCCTTTTGTCTTCCCCAGCTAATCTGTTGAAAGAGGCCACATGGTCACACAGATAGTTCCTCATGTGAGCTTCTGAAGAAGCAGTAGCCCCCCCCCCCAGCTTCTGTTCTTCCTCAGCCACTTCAGAATGTCCTTGAGACTAACTCATTCTTGTTTCTCTCCCTGAAAATAATGGAAATGACAGTCTCAAATTCACATGGTACTTTTCACACATACACACATATGCATACATACATACATACACACACATATATACACACATGTACACACATACATATATACACACATGTACACACACACACACACACACACACACACACACACACACACACCAAATCTCCCATTCAACCTCATCTCTGCACTTAGCAGATGGGAAAGCTGAAACACACATAGATGATGATAATAAACCCAAACTTCCAGCACACAGAAATGATAACAGCAGATAAGCAGTGATTTGGTCTTGGGCTCTGCACTTCTCAACCATTGTCTTATTTCTCCCCCAAACCTCTCTTAAAAGGATACAATGTGGACTGGTGAGACAGAGAAGCAGCTAAGGGCATTTTCTCCCAAGCCTAATGACCTCACTTTGATCACCAGAGCCCACACAGCAGAAGGACAGAAGTGACTCTTCAAAGTTGTCCTCCGAACTCCATACTTGTACCGTGACACATGAGCATGTGCCCATACGTACACAATCAGGATAAATAAATGAAATAATAAAGTGTCTAAATGGCTACAATTTGGGCTCCTTACCTTTCAAGTTAGAAAACTGGGGACATTTTAGTTTGCTGATGTTGCCATAATGCTGCTTAACAAATGACCACAGAGTCTCAAAGACATACAAGTGAAGCGATTATTGTGGTCACAGAGGTCCATGCGTTTCTAGGAGGTTGGCTACACTAAGTTATTTTCACATGTGGTGGCTCCATCCTGTGCCTCTTTCATCCTCATTGGACTGTGGTCTAGCCGAGGTGTGTTCTCCCATGATGGCAAAGAGGATACCCAGGAAGCCACGGACACTTAGAACTAGTATAGGAACACATGCACCCATGCAAAACCAGCCAGCCAAGTCATGTGGCATCTGAAAATTAAAGAACGAGGGTGCTTAAGATGGAGCTTGGCAAAGGGGGGTGTTGGCGAGGGTTACTAAAATCCAAGCTGGCTAAGGATAGGGTCTGGTTTTTGTAGCAAGGTCACCTGGCTTTAAAATCCAAGTTCTTAGCTGCAGTTACATCCAGGGAGACTTCACAAGGGGCTGTTATTGTTATTTAGGAAACTCAGATGGATCAATGGAGATGAGCAAATGAGAGTGGGCAAGGATATGTGGAGGAATAGAAAGTGGGGGATAAGTTGAGGCTGTCACTCCAGGTGCCCAGTGTCCACTGTTACGGTAGCTGGTCATCTTTTACTTCTCTGTTTCAGCCCAAATGAACAAAATGCCCCATTTCATCTTCTGAGATGTTGATAGTGACACACACCAAATCACTCGTAGTGATAAACGGGGAGATGGGTGTTGTTATAATATTGTGTCTGACTTTAGTGTTAGGGATGCTGCTCTCCCGAAAGACTGAAGACACCTCAAGGCCATGCTCCAGTTGAGCCAGCCTCAGGAAACAAAGTCAGCCCCACAAAGCAGGGAAAGACTTGCTGAAGGGACCGGAATGACATTTCAAAGTGACCTTTGAGGATAAATGGATTTGCAGAGAAATAACAGAGGCAAATGGAGAAACAGTGGGTGCCCGGACACACTGAAAGCGTTCACCTGCCGGGGGACGGATAATCTATTTTCTATTTCAGGAAACTAAAAGACAGTTTAGTTAGTAGTGATTGGGGTAGCATTTTGCACCTGTAACTTTGGACCTCAACCTGGAGCAAGATTGCTGGTGTCTGCCAACCATAATTTCACTGGATAGTGACCTGTATCAAGATGAGCCTCCAAAGGTCATCCTCCAGCAAGAAGCTGGTAAAGATGTGAAAGCACCCTTCCAAAAGAGAGATGACTGACTCCAGGCCGTCTAGTGCCTTCCGGCTGGATTATGACTTGTGACTTTTGTTCTCTCTTTGGCTGTGACTTATTTGGATAACTTCAAACAGTGATCCTATCAACTGTGTCTTTTTTTCTCTTTATCTGAAATAACATTTAAGAAGCCACTGATAACCCACTCTTGATTTATACTAGATGTGCATGTGTGATCCAGAAACCCAGTTTACTGAGAGAAATGGAGAGCTAGCTTGCCAAACACCAGAGATAACTGTGGGATAATCCCAGTAGAGGCAACAAATGGGGCAAGGTCAATAGTGGTTCTTTTGGGAGGAGAGAGACAAGTTATCTCTCTCTGGTGACATCAGTGAAGAATGAGTGGGAATGTGAGTGCAGAGGCTGAGCAGGTAGCAGGGATGCGGAGGAGCACTGTGATGTTTGGGGAGATTCCTTCATCTGCACTTGGTCATTTTTCCTTATACCACTCAGCCTTCCATTTCATGTGTCTTTCTTGAGGGGCAAAGTCCTTTTTAGTGATACCTTATGTATTCCAGAATAAGAGTATTGGAGCCTAGGAGGTAAAGGAGGGAATATTGGGAATATGTGGTCCTTGAGAATCCCATCACACACAACAAAGCATGCACCATAAGTGAGGATTGTAAGTAGTTGGGTGTCCCGAGATGCTTTTATTTCTACTCTTAAATAACTATGAGAATTCACTTCCTGGATTGCACCTTCCCTATGAAAACTAGGGAGGAGGAAATAAAAATCATAGTCTTTTTTTTTTTTTTTTTTTTTTTTTTTTTTGGTTTTTCGAGACAGGGTTTCTCTGTGTAGCTTTGCGCCTTTCCTGGGACTCACTTGGTAGCCCAGGCTGGCCTCGAACTCACAGAGATCCGCCTGGCTCTGCCTCCCGAGTGCTGGGATTAAAGGCGTGAGCCACCACCGCCCGGCAAAATCATAGTCTTAATGACCAATATTTGCTGTACCCTTATTCTAGGATGGGAGAGGTGGGCCAGGATGCTTCAGTAGCTCTGCCCTGAAATATCAACATCACTGAAAGTATTTTCCAAGACCAGATCAGCAGGTGAAGGTGTTTGCAATCAAGCCTGACAAACTGAGTTTGGTCCCTCAGGACTCACATGGTAGAAGAGCAACACACACACACACACACACACACACACACACACACACACACACAAAAAAAAAAAAAAAAAAAAACTTTATAAACATTAATTGGTTTAATCTCCTACAAAGCTGTTTAAGGAAAAAGTTCTCCTCAGAATTTTGCCCTTTACACTTCTTGAAAGCATCCCCCACATACATGAAACCCAAGCATTGTCCATGAATCTGTGTCAGAGTACACTATGAGCAGAGGACTCTGTCTTACCTTCAGGGGACTCTGAATCTGATTTTGGGTGTATGCCCAGCACACATTGAAAAGCAAATTAGGTTTTTGTTTTTTCCTTTGAGAAAATGTGATACTCTGAATCTGGAGGTGTGGATTCTGAGGCTGTGGAAAGCCCTGTTCTTTTCCTGTTTCATTTTGATTAGCCAGTATATTCCCACTCTTTTTCCAATAAGAACACCCATGACATCATTTCCTGTCTCAGTCTGTGGGTCAGAGAGCTGGTCTATGAATGAGCATGTGACCTAGGTACAGACAGTTGCATATTCCAGCATTGTACTTGAACCCGGGAAGATGATGCAGTCCATCTTTGAGGATTGTATCAGAACAGTGAAAAAGAGAAAGAAGCACCTTCTTCCATGGGCCATACTGAGGACGAGATGAAGGCCCAAAGTTGCTGAAGGGGTCACTACCTTGTTTCCACAAAGAAAAAAACACTTTGAAATAAAACCTTCAGGAAAAAAAAGCCATTACAAAGTTAAATATGGAAACCTGCTAAATCTTATAAGACCTCTAGACTCCGTGGATCCTTCTGTTCTGGGATTTCCTCCAAGTTTGTTTTAGTTCATTGGACCAAGCCCATTCTTCTTTCTGTTTAAACCATGTTGTTTTGAGTCCCAACTCATTATACCCCAAACCCTTCTCTTCTGTTATATCTATGGATCTGTAGAAGAAGGCACATCCCTCAATGCACGGCTAAGAACTCAGTTTTCTAAGAGCGGGGATGTGCAAATTTCTCCCTCTAATGGGAACAGCAGCTGCTTGACTTCATCAGAAGCAGAGAGTCAAAGACAACCATGTGTTTCTGGGTCCAGTTCTAACTCCCTGGCTAGGAAAGTTATTCCGGGCTCATCTTCTCCTCCCCTGCTCTGCCAACAAGCCCCCGGACTCCCAACTCTCCCTATCCTACCGACCTCAGGTATTTGAAATTACAAAATAACTGTGATTACATTGAGAGCCCATGGCTATTAACAGAACCCCAAACTATGGATTCTTGCATGGATCATAGGTCATTTTGGCAGTCAGAACACCTTCAGATTCTGCTGAAGTTTTAACACAACCAGGAGACTCCCTTTCTATCTCCCTCCTATCCAGCCCACCTGAAGTAAGTCAACAGCTCCTGTCAGTCCCTTATGTGTGGTCTCCATTTCAGTATTTATCATTATGCTGTTTTGTTTTTCTTTACTTTGGGCTAGATTCTGAGATAAGAGACTCTTCTTCTTGTATTTTATCCCATTTTACTCGAATACATAAATAATAAATAAATGTACCCCTGTACACCTAGTGGCAGCTTTATGCTGATTGTGAACCAGTTTCTCCAGTTCTGACACCACATTCTCTGAGGAAATTGTATTGGCCTCATCTAGGAACTTGTTAGCAATACAGATTCTCAGGTCCCATCCACTGAAAATGGGGCATAGCACATTGAACAAACCTTCCAGATAATTCTGATGCCTACTAATGTTAGAAATTCATTGCTCCAGCTTCCCGCTACTTGATGCATAGGCGTCTAAGGACCACAAACATCAGCATCTCTTAGGAGCTTGTCAAACACTTGAAATCTCAGACTTCACCACTGACCTATTGATGTAGCCAAGAATCGGTGTCTTAACAAGTTTTCCAGGTCATTTATGTACTCTGAAAACCACTGAAGCGATCTAAATTATCAAGCACATCCAAAAAAAAAAAAAAAAAAAAAAATCTTTTTTTTCTTTTTTAGAAAACTAATGCTTAAGAATCCAGCTCACTGTACGCTAAGACCAGTGCTATCAG